TTATGACATTTTCCCAGGTTACCAAGACACAGTGCTACGGGGGAGGGGGGGGTAGCATCCTTTTCTATCTGTCTCCCTTTTCTGAGAGACAGTATTCCCGGAGGCTACATCTACAATGAAGATGAATTTGGAATTTGAAGGAGGTTTTGGCAAAATAATTTTAGGCTGATATATAAACTACCCAAGCAGTTAAATATGGTTGTAAGTGTTGAGAGAGGGAGGATTCTGATTTTCCCTCTAACTCACATTAATAAAGAAGACTGTATTTGAGGAAAGTTGACTCATTAAAGGAAGGCGCCATAACATGCAGATCAGTTGAGTTATCCCTGGGTAAAAGTGATATTTGCTCTGCTTAGCATGCTTCGTTGCAAATCTTTACCATAAGGAAGTGGAAGGAGGGAAATAAAGAGATGTAAACAGGATGGCACGAAAAGAGCAACAAACACGGTCAGGAAACCAGTCCGTCCTGACTGTGCCACTTGATAGCTATACAATGTGGGTCTTCCCCGTTTCCCACTGTGAATAGCAAATGGGTTTTGACTTAAGGATCTGTAATGTGCTATGACATTTCGATTATCCAGTAAAACTGGTTCCCTCTGTCTGTTTTCTAATAAGGCTCTTTTATAGCCTTTTCACTGAAAGACATCTCTCGTTTTCGAAAGCACTTTAGACACAGTGCGTAGGCCCAATTATTCCTAATGAAAGGAGCACCTTCAATTCCTCTAACGACCTGGAATCATGATTAGAGGTTTGGAAAGCCTTTCAGACAGAGGCTGGAGGGGCATCTATTTAGGGATATTAGTGGCCTATTGTGTTAGCAATTTATTCTTTGGCCAAGGTACAAGCTGCACTAGATCATCTCAAACGTCCACTCCAGCTCTCAGCTTTCGTCTAGCACAGACATCATGCTGCTAAGTTTTTATCTAAAATGTCTCGCACCCTCCAGACACTTTGTGGAATTAGAAACCAACTGCATTTGCCAAACCAAACAGACAGGCTGGTGAGTCAACTGCAGATTAGCAGGTGGTCCGATAATTTGCTGCTCTCTCTAAATTCTCCATGAGCTACACAGAGAGCACACATTTCTGCCTCCCTTCTGAGAATTCTTGATCAGTGTGAGAGACTTCTCAAGGCAATTGCCTGCTTAGCCCCTTCCTCTCTCTCCTGGAGAATTTAAAGCCTCCACACTCAAGAAATGCAAATTAAGTCCTCTTCAAAAGTAGCTTAAGTATCTGGCTTTGTAAACATTTCTTTACCATTAAGAGGAAATCGCAAATCTTTATTGGCCTTGCTGCTAAAGAGAATTCTGATTTTCTCAGAACAAGCTTCTTCTTCTCCTGCTCTGATCCCAGAGCTCCCCCTTGTGCCCTGATGAGAAACTGACTCAAGAAAGAGCTAAAGGTCAGCACATTTAGATTGTGGGGTTCAGGCAGCTCCCCAGGGCAGCAGTTCTCAAACTTCAGTGAGCATCGCAATTATAAAACCCACCCTGTAAATCATGACATTGTAAACTAGCTTTTCAGAAACTAAAATGCAGAACAAAATTTGAGAATCTGTCTCAGGAAAAAAAAAAATCTCTACAACATGGATTAATAAGACCAGTGTTTCTCAAATTTTGATATGTATCAGAATTACCTTGTGTTTTTAAAGCCATTCCTGTGCTGAACACTCAGAGATTCTTTATATGTTAGGGACGGTCTAGAAAATGGTTTTAAAATAGACACCCCAAGGGGTTCGGCTGCAGGGGATCTTAAGAAACCCTTGAAAAGACAGTTAAGGTTCATAAGTAGGAAAACATACTAAAGGTCTAAGCAGAAACTTAATGTCTCCTCTCCTCACAACAACAACAAAAAATTTCCCTCTCCTCACAACAACAACAAAAGTCACTTAACATCATGAGATTATTTTTCATTATTACTTTAAAAACTCAAAACCTATTTCAGGATAGTTAAAGAGAGATATTTTCTAAAGGATAGAAAATATCTTTTAGCAACTTATCTGCTCGAAGCAGAGATCTGGAGGAGGCTTCACAAGTCATCCATATAGACTCCTAGAGGCTAAGCCCAAGGAGGTTAGTTGCTAGGTCCAAAAAGGACCTCAGATGTGCGAAAGAGAATGAGCAATCTGCACTCAAAGCCATATGGCAGGGCATCGGAGAACAGTTAAAGAATCTCTGATCTGCTGCCTGGACCTTCGTATAGGTAGACGCTAGCCCACGGATCTTCCACTACGTGATATTTATGATACTTGGGGGGACCAGAATGAGTCATCCCAAGATATGCCTCTGTGATATGCAGATTACTCTTTAAGCTAAAGGCACTTTTAGCTTCGGGCTCAAGATAAACTTTGGCCCCTCCCTTACTATCTATAGGGCAGGGCACACTTCTATTTACTAAAAGTCTGTTCTGATGGTCCTGCAATGACCCTTTGAAGACCCCAGGGAGCATTACCTCATCCCTCGCTCAGGATGTCTTGTACCTCAACCGCCCTCTCTATCTCTGAATCTCCCCTGCATGTGGGGTTTCAAACATACATATGTATGTATTAAATTTGGTTATTTTCCCCTGCTAATCTGCCTCAAGTCTGTTTCATTATTAGTCCAACCTGAAGAAACTTGAGGGCAGAGCAAAGTTTGTTCCTCCCCCACAATGCCCTTGAGCAGTAAGCTCCCTCTGTTTAATCAACTGATTGATATCCATTACCTTTTATTATGTATTTTCATCACATTCTTCTCTCAGAAAAGGTGAAAAGAAAAATTAAGTTATAGATCTATAAGAACCAGAGAAACACAACTGGTAAGAGGTGAATGCTAGAATGCCTTTATGCCCAGAAATAAGCCTCAAATACTGTTACCACTGTAATTATTTTCAAGATGCCCAAGTAACTGAAACAATGCTTAGACCACTGACTTCCAATCCTGATATAACGTAAGCAGGATAACTTAACATCTCTCAAGGGCTACTGTGAAACTATAAAAAATAAAATTAAGTAAATTATTTTCTTTAAAAAACATAAACTTTGATAGTTTGATGAAGGAAAATTTGCAAACTACAATCCAAAGGTACCTTAACCCTAAAAAGATTAGGATACATAATATACATACTGAACAATGAATAACTGTGAAGAACAGAAATCAGGAGACATTTAAGTGTCACTCTTGCATGAAAGCAATCTTTATTTAAACCATCAGTTCTCAACCTGTGGGTCACGACCCCTTTGGCGGTCGAATGACCCTTTCACAGAGGTCACCTAAGACCATCCTGCATATCAGATATTTACATTATGATTCATAACAGTAGCAACATTACAGTTATGAAGTAGCAACAAAAATAATTTTATGGTTGGGTCACAACATGAGGAACTGTATTTAAAGAGCCAGAAGTTGAGAACCACTGATTTAAACTGACAGTTCTCCTGAGTCTATGAAATTGCTTCCTTTCTCCTAGTGTTTCCACACCAAGTGAATGTATGAAACAGATCGATAATGTGGACAGCTGTTGCCTCAATGCCAATCAGTTAAATAAACAGTATCATTTAGTCTCTAGGTCACACTCTGCCTTGGTGATTTTGCCACCATTAATCAGAAAACTAAAGAGTTAGAAATAGATCATACAAATTATCCACCCTGGCCCCAACCCCTTGAGGAAACTGATCTTGCAAGGCGTGTCAGGCCATAAAAACTGTGAACAATGCACTGCCCTGGGGCGGGGGTTGGGGGAAAGTCATTATCGCTGGCCCCAGGACAGGTCATCGGACATGGCCTGGGGACTCCCAACACCTGGGGGCCTTCCTGTAAGCCCATGAAAGGGGGCAGAACCATATCTGCAAGACAAAGACCCCAGAAGGTTATAAAAAGCGAAGCCTCTGCAGGTTTCTTCACTCTGATTTGGAAATTATTCCCGGAATCCACTAGTGTTACTAAACGGGGTCCCTCCCTTTCTCTAGGAAGTATGCTTGGTATTTCTTTGGTGTTCTGCAACACTCTCACAGAGAAAGAAACTATGACTCAGAGGTTATATTATTTAATCTAGATTACCCCAATAGTTCATTATTGATAAAGAATGATCACCCAGCAAAGTTCCTAATCCAGCTCTCAAAGAAATTAAGGCTAAACAGTATGAATAAGTACAAGGATAGAAACAGTATCACTATATATTACCTAAGCAATTTTTTAAGAGATTTAGACACTCAAGCAAACAGAGGAGAATATATTGTTGAGGAGACTGGGAAATACTGAGATGGAGCAAAACCTCTTTTTTAAATATTTTTTATTTATTTCAGAGGAAGTGAGAGGGCGAGGGAGAGGTAGAAACATTAGTGATGAGAGAGCCAGGAACCCGGGCATGTGCCCTGACTAGGAATCTAACCATGACCTCTTGGTTCATGGGTCGACAGCAACCACTGAGCCATGCCGGCTGGGCGCAGCAAAACTTCTTAATAGGCACTCATTGTAACCTACAACCAAAATCTACAGAGTCTTCTGTTCTCTGCTTTACATCCATAGAGAATATGTTTTAAAATATTAAGATACTAGAGTTTTGCTTCCTCATAATACATACAAATGTAAATAATCATTTAGAATAAGGTTACCTGGGGACTGAAATCACTCCAGCTCCAGGTTTAGTAGGATTACATCTCATTTTCACCGCAGTTGACCGGCCATTAACACAAGATGTTGTAGTTGCAGAAGACCTATTGTAAAACACATATCATTTTACAAAATATATATGACACAGATTACAAAGACAAAAATATCTTCCATATAAAAACTCCTATGCTATATAAACAAGTGAAAAAGGAACCAAAGTTCACTGCTTTATAATTTTAATACAAATTAAGCTCATTTTCTTTTACTGACTATAACAAGTTCACTATTTTCTCAGGTAAAGTGATAAGCTATTATCAAGGTGTTTAGTAAAGCTTCTATAATTAAAATCAAAATTATAATCAAAAGAAATTTTAAATGGAAATGCCGGGGTCTTATTTGCATCTACTAGGGTTCAGGAATCTGAAGAAAGGGCTGCGATGCCAATTAATAAAGAGACTAGACATGAAAAACAAATTTGGGAGGCATTTTGCAGGATTCAGGGGAGGCTTAGCTTTAGTAACTAAGCTCCCCAATCTCTGGGCCCAAGGCTTTTTATTCCCACATTTTGCCCTGTAGCAAAGCAGATATACGTATCAAAGGTAAGGTATGGTAAACAGTAAAGGACCATCAGGTTGGGGGAACTGCCCTCAGCTGTCCGGCAGCAGGCAATAACATGTAGATCTTCAGCCCTGCTGAAGCCCCAAATTCCATCAACCTTCTGATGAACTTCTTGCATTTATGACCTGCTGGAATTAGCCTCCAGCAGGGAAAAATGTTATATCCACTCAGGCTGATGTTTAGTTGTATAAGTTATAAATAAGTACTGCCTACACAATAGAGGCAGTATTGCCTAATTTAAAATATTATATAAATTAGGCAAGATATAAATTATATAAAATATTATAAATTAGGCAACATGTAATATATATATATTTTATATTTAAATATAAAATATATATATGAGCAAAATTATATGAGGTTTTCAAACTATTCCATGTTTCCTACTTTTTACTAAGTCTTTTATTTAAGAACCAATTGCTTATTATCTATTAATTGTAAGCTACTATACTGGCACCCTGAATTGACATTCTCACTTACTTGTAAAAGAAATGCACATCGGGTATTTGGCTCGGTGGAGCTGGGAACATATCTTCTTTTATATTAATATTTTGCAATGTGGTTTCAATTGTCACTCCTACATGGCAGTAAAAAAAGACATTACTGAGCAATATGGGAAAATTAAGTTTATTTAGTCTCTGTATATCTGAATAGAAAATAGCTTTACTTTTATACTGTCATTTTAGCAGAAATATTGTATTAAATTAATATGACAATAAGAAACTTTCCACAGTTTATGGGGGAAAAAAAAGATTCTATACCCTAGTTTTGTAATTTTGCTTAAGTCACTTCACTTCCTTGGCTCTTACGTTCTGAATCTGTAAAATGCATGCAATAATCACAATATCTCTAAAGTCCCTTCCAGTTCTAACATTTGAACAATCCACTATTATACTTCTCAGCCTCTGGTGAGTTTTGTTGAATGAGCTGGGCAACTTTGCTAATACAGCTTTTCTTTCACATTCATTACAGGCATATTTGACGCCAAAAAAGATTCTTGTACCCTAATAATTTCCAAAAATAACTCCAAAATTTGCTTAATCTAAAAGTAAGGCATTTTTTCCCTGAACAAAATGATAGCCGCGCCAAAATGCAAGCAATAACAGTGACCCTTGCTTCTGACACAGCTCCTATGCTGAGCAAAACTGACCTTGGTGCTGAAAAGTAAAGCTCAATTCCTCTAGAACACATAGCAATGGTTCTCAAATCTGGCTGCATATTAGAATCATCTAAGAAGTTTGTTAGATTTGTTAGATTGTTATGTGCCTTGTTAGGTTCCTAAGCCCCACTCCAAAAAGTCTCATGAATTTTATTCCTGTGAATTACTAGCAGGAACCTGAATTCTTCTTAAAATATTCCTATGTTCTTGACACCACAGAGATAGACAAGCAGATGGGGAATAAAACTCAGCACATTCACCTTTGCTACTTGTCACCAAATTTCTTTCATACTTCTGGTATGAAAAAACATGATGAAAACTGATGACAGATATTATAATTTAGGTTTATATTGTGTCTGTTTACTGTTCTTTTCTTTCTAGTTTTGGTGTTTTAAATTATTTTGTGTCTTAAACTCCTAAAGGATCCGATATAAGGCCAACTCTCAGAAAACACATATCACATCTGAGTCAATACATAAATTCAGAAGTTCCTTGTACTCACTGAGATTAATGACTACACCTCACTGGTAGGGGCTTTTTAACCATGTCACAAAGTGATGATTTAGGATTACTTGTGGGCTTTAATCAGCTATGATAAAAACCAATGCTCTGACAGGTTATCAGTACCCTAGTTTTATACATGCAGATAGGAACAAAATGAAGCTTACCTAAAAATGTGTCTGCCAGAATGATGGATTGTGATGATAAAGCTGCTCGGAAACCCTTACTTTCCGAAGGAATAATAGTTGATTGGCATACAAATGCTCCTACCAGATTCGTGTAATCATCTGAGCCTGCCACCATGTCCTTTACTGTAAAGTCTGTTATATTGTTGGTACACAGAGCCATCTTCTCCCCCTAGGAAAATGAAGTCATAAAGAAGTTTTATTGGGGGTCACTCTCTAAACTGGATCTCAGCTAGCCAGTGACTCGAATAGGGCAGTGGTTCTCTCCTCACCGCAATTCTGATTTATTAGATCTGGTGGGAGGCCCAGCCACCAGTATTTTTTAAAAGCTCTGGAGGCTATTCTAATGTTTCAACCGGGGTTGAGAGTCACTGAGGTTATGATGAATATGCTAATTCAAGGCTGCATTCCTCCTCCAACTGTCAGCATCATTTGTGGTGGATGAAAGCCATCTAACATAAGGAAGTATAAGTCATCTACGAACTCTTCAATTCATAGGATAACAATGCATGCAAAGAGACCAGAAAACTGTTGATGCCAAGAAAGACTTGCACTTCATAGGCTGATGTGTGCCAGAAAGGTGATGTGAAGGCTGAAGAAGAAACATAAAAGCCATATTGCCACAGAATCCTAAGACGACATCAAAATTGTAAACAGTTGGTCACAATTGTCTTTATTCACATATTCTTAGATTCAAGGACATGTATCTGCTCAACTACACAGTAAGTTTAAGGGAACACAAAGGTTTATTTTCATAATCATTTGGAGGATAGTTGGGAGATATAATTTATAAAAATTGGAAGACTCTTTAAATATAATATGTTTAAATATACTATAGTCCCAATGCAAAGGACTATAGCTTGCTCTATTATTTCTATGAAGAAATGTACAAAAGAAAACAGGAACGTAGTTTATTGGTCTTAGATGTAGAATGTGCACACGTGGGCATAAAGAAAAGAATCAAGATTTCACTTTGTTAATGCAGCTGGTAGTCCTAACCTATGAAATGTTTTCCCTCCACCAAGCCTTCTCACCACAATACAGGTGCAACATATTTTTACTAAGCTCGGATTAAATTGTTGAAGCCAAAAAGAGAGAAAAGTGGAAAAGAGCAGAATACACTACTAAGGAAGGAGAGAGAAAGTCAACAATACACAGAAAGGAGTGAGAATATAAAGTGGGGGGAAAGAGAAAGAAGAAGAGAAAAGATGGCAGAACAGACAGTGGTAATACAGGAATAAGACTAAGAAGAAGTGTGCTATATAATGGAATTAATTTCATTCACTGCTTAACACAGTAGTAAACATAATAGATACTTAATATATATTATTGAGTAAATTGAGGAACTAACCAACTTAGTACCTAAAATTAGGACAGGACAAATGTCATGCCATGTAAAATTTATAGATTTTTTAAGAATTTATATGATCATTAGATCTCTATTTTCTTTGTACAAAGTTTGGCACAGCCGTCATAATGAAGACCATTATTAGATAATCAGGAATTAATATAGAAAGAGACATGGTGGAAATCCCAACCTTGTATGCCCTTAAAAATATTGAACATATAGTCCTGTAACTCTCCCCATTACCAGTGTCAGTTAAGGCCTGCTTCTTCCCACAGAAAAGAAAACCCCTTTATTTATTAGCAGAGGCAATCTGATCAACTGACATGTGTCTCCTGCTTAACTCCTTTTTACTTCTCGATAAACTTTCTCTTGGAAGTCTTTTACTTTTTAAGACACAAAATTGGCAATATTACAAACAACAGTAAAATTTTCTCAAACTAGAACTGCCTGCCTAAAAAAATAGGAGAGATGACAAGCCTGATCCACTTTTACACAAACGAAAGATCCTCAAAGCACTTACCATTGCTCCAAGGTTTAGGGTTCAAGAGACTGGATGAGTGCTTTGATGGACTGAGAACCAAGCAAGGTTGCCCCTGGTGGAGAAAGCTGCCAACCAACATGCTAGGAGGCAACAGAGGACTTAAGCGATCAAAGCTCAGTTTCTGATATGTGGGTGTCAGTTTCCACAGAGATTTTACTGGGCCATCAACATAGGAAATATTAACTCACTCTGAGTTGAAATATAGCTCCATCTCACCTCTGCAGCCAGAACTCACCTCATGCCCACACAAACTAATATTGAAGAAATGGAAGTATTTTGTTCCTTTGGAGGTAAAGCTGGGGCCATTCATTAACGAGCCCACGCTGCTGAGGTTGCTGAAGTCATAGTGCAAACTCTGATTTTCTTTCTCGTGGTAGAAAAAGCAGTCACTATAGCAAGCGGAGTGGTCCTTTGATTAAGATTAAGAAATGTAAAACATTTTTAATAATATAGCAGGAAAGAAAGTATTAGTTACTATGAAAAATGTGTTTCAAAAAAAGTCCTAGTTTAAGATCTGTTTCATTAATTTCATCTTCAACATCATAACATATTTTACCATACTACTACAGAGAATTTCTATGAACTAACTCAATTTTCTTAAGCAAAGTTTAGAAGATTCAGAACTTTTCAAAGTAGTTATTCCAAGGTTAGTATCTTGTAGAAAGGTATGTTCACAGTCAAATGTCCCTGTTATGTCAGTTTAAATAGACAATAAAACTGCTTTCTCCTTCATTCAAAATGTAGCATCAACCTTTGCCCTTATAATATTATAAGACACACTTGCTGCTCTCTGCATGTTCCTATTGCCCTCCTACAGAGGTTGTTTTCTTGTCCTGCCTTAACAGAACCACAAGAAATTTAATATTTTTGAAAGAATTCTTATTTGAGTGTTTTTCTTAAAATTGTATGTCCCCAGAAACTAGGACTTACATGGAACATAGTAACCAAGTGATCAATAAATGTAAAAGGAGAGAAAACAAGAAAGGGAGTGAAAAAATCATTTGTAAATATCACCAACAACCTTGTAGCTCCTGAAAAAACATTACAGGGAACTTCTGAGTTTCTCTCTTAAAGTAGACTCACTTACCTGAGTGCTTCTACTCCCAGGCCCGCACGGAATACAAGCCTCCTTGCCATAGACCTGATGTATGGACAGGTAGGTGTCAGGTGGACACTCCTTGCACTGGTTGGTTTCTTTCTCAATGTAGTCGCCTGGGGGGCAGGGGACACACGATGAGCCCGACTGTTCAGAACCGAGGGCACAGGCACGGCATGAGGATGCCACCCCATCAACTGCATTAGTGGCAGTGATAGAATAAATCTTCACCATGTCATTGATGAACCGTCTATTCTAAAAAGAGAGCAGAAACTAATGACTTCTGCTTTGGGGCTCATTGGACAATCAAACTGCTTTATGTTGATATCACCAAAATAAGCAGAGTGCTCCAGCCTTATAGTTTATAACTGACAATGGATCAATATCACTGGGTTTTTTGTTGTTATTTTTTAAAATATATTTTATTGATTTTTTACAGAGAGGAAGGGAGAGGGATAGAGAGTTAGAGACATCCATGAGAGAGAAGCATCGATCAGCTGCCTCCTGCACACCCCCTACTGGGGATGTGCCTGCAACCAAGGTACATGCCCTTGACCGGAATCGAACCTGGGACTCTTCAGTCCACAGGCTGACGCTCTAGCCACTGAGCAAAACTGGTCAGGGCTATTATTTTTTCTTTGAAAATCTTAACACTAGAATGTGTTAAGTGCACAGTAATGGAGTCCCAGGAGTTTTGTCACAGTCACCATAAATATGTCATAATTGGTACTAACTTGGGCGTATTTTATAGACTTTACACCTAGCAGAATTAGCATGGTTTATCTCTCAGTTACTCAAGATAAGAGCCCAAACCTAATGCTACAATAGATGCCAACAGTGTTGGTGGGCAGAAGCCATGGACTAGCCTTGGAAGGCTAAGACCCTGGCCCTTACCCTAACACTAATTGTGCAATATTGATGCAATCACATGACCTCTTTGGGCCTTCCTCTCTTTCTCTTCCTAGTACTTTTCCTAACCAAGATTCTTTGTTTTCTACTGAAAGAATGTGCAAAGGAGAGCAAGAATCTGAGGCTTACTTTATACTTTTCCTTACTGAGATAATGGATCAATTAAGATCTCATTTCATCAAGCAGTGGGCATCACCCTATCAGTACAGGGCAGCACTACCCTAGACTAAATGCTCTTTGTGTGGAGCAAAGCAAAAAGAAGGTAAGGAAGTACCCCTAGCATGTTCATGCCCTGCATAATGGTAATCTGAACACTCGTAAATAACAAAATTGGAGGCCAGTAAAATCTGGGAAATGGGTTCCCCAGGGAAAGCCTCAAGAGAAAATGCTACATCTGCCACCCTAGCTTTTGAGGCAGCTTCTGGACTCGTGGTTTACCTTGTTCTCAAGTGAGAAGTTCACATCTTTGGAGATTCACAAAAACAATAATCTTGCTACTATTGAAACATACAATGGGATTTACTTAGTGGAGGATGAAGGTCTACTCTAGCAGGAAAAGAGGGTAAATAATTCTCTGTGTTAACCCAATCCTGTGTCCACACACATTCTCCAGGCTATAAAAGAAGACATTACTGTAATCCTATATAAAAGGCTAATATGCAAATTGACCAAACTATGGAAAAATCAGTCGCTATAATGCACACTGACCACCAGGGGGCAGACGCTCAATGCAGAAGCTGCCCCCTGGCGGTCAGTGCACTCCCACAGCGGGAGTGCCGCTCAGCCAGAAGCCGGGCTCATGGCTAGCGAGCATAGCAGCGGTGGTGGGAGCCTCTCCCGCCTCCGCAGCAGCACTTAAGGACCCCTCAGGGGTCCCAGATGGCAAGAGGGCGCACAGGCTGGGCTGAGGGACACCACCCCCCCCCTCAGTGCATGAATGTCGTGCACTGGGTCTCTAGTGAAATGATAAACCAACATCTGTTAAAGCCTCCTGAACAAATGCCTGATCATTCAGATGAAGAGGAAGTAAGTCACCAGTCTTTTCAGAGTCTCAGAAAGCTTTAAAAGTAAGGTTTTAAATAACTACAAAATTAGATGTTCTTTCTCTTAAGCTTCTAGTAACTATAATTGTTCACAGTGTAGAAAAGTTCAAAGATCCACTGTATTATTCCATTTCACACATTCTTGCTCTCAAAAGAAATGACCATTTTCATGCCAATCTACTCCATAACCAAACGCTTGGTTCCACATCCATAAAAAGCTATCTTTTCCTTCGGGAGATTCGAGTGACCTCTTTCCATATATCTCCACGGGAGCATCATCTTTGCATTAAAAATAATAATAACAACTTGGAACTTACATCTTGCCCCTGGTTAGTTCTCTGGAATGCCCATGTAAATGTAAACGTTGCATTCTTGAAGATGATGTGGGTGTAAGCTTGTTTTTCTTTGGTTCCACCCCATGATTCCACCACGTTGGTACTTTTTCTATTAATATCCTTAAAAAATATACACAGAAAAGCACAAACTCAGTATTAATACACATGTGTATTCATTAAAAATATGTGTTTGTATTTACAGCATACCCTGCAGGGTTTGTAAATATTTATCTACAGAGATGTAACCCTATAATTAATTCTCAAAACTTCCTCTCAAATCTACACAAGCACTAGCTTAATAATTACAATATATCAACCACACTGTCAATGTAACATGAAAAAGGTCTCAAATCATAGTATGTGTAAGGGGGGTTGTGTGTGTGTGCGTGTGCGTGTGCGTGCATGCATGCATGTGTGTGTGTGTGTGTGTGTGTGTGTGTGTGTGTATGCATGAGTACGCGCATGTAGGGGTGTGAACTTCTACCTTGGAGAAATATACTTAGAAGAGGAAACATAATTCCTCAAACTTCTCACAGTGAACTTCATAAAATGGCAAGGCTTTCTATTTTCATCTTTTTTCCTTGGGAGATGCTGATAGGCAGCTCTTATATAGAAATTGTAAGTTCTCCCTGTTCTATACTTGCAACTTCCTGGCTTACCCAAGTGCAGATTAATCAGAATGTTATTGTATGTTCATGAAATATTCTTTTTGATTATGCTTTAACTTCAGTAGGATTAATTTGTGTAATATTTATTTCTGATTTTCTTGGTTAAATTCAATATTTAGAATACCATACAAATGTGTGATATTCCAACAAATACGTCATCATTAACATGGTTAGAAAGCAAATAATGTCAGCCAAATAATGTAATACATATCTAATTAATTAGAAATTAAAACCAAGACTAATTCTGAATTTTCTTACTAGTCTTTCCTGCAGAATCCCTAATACATGACTTAGAATTCTGAATGGGCTTCTGTGAATTATCTGGGATGTTAACAATATGGTGGCATGAGCTCAAAACATGTCTCTTTTCTTTCTGTGATATAAACATAGGAGTCAAACATGTTATAAAGAAGTCAAATCTGCTATAAAGAGAGGCATGTTGAGTTCATGCCACAGACAGAAGCAACAACATGTGCTTTTCATACATTACAGAATTCCCACATTACTAAACATTCAAATCATCATACATGCCATTTCCTAAAAGGAGTTCATAATATGCAGATCGTGCTCTGTAAATAACATTTCTCTGGATGTTTATTCCAATAACAAATTGAATTTATTGCATTACTACAACTAACACTTTATTTATGTAAAACACTACACAATTTTGAGAGCATTTTTATATGCTATTTCATTGATATCTCAAAAAATCCTGTGAGAACACCAAATCACACACAAAGACAGCTAACAGATTCTGCTATGAGCTAAAACTCCAGTTTTGCTTTATCAAAATGAATAATTGTAAAACCTACACTTAGTAGTGTTTGTTCAAATGAGAAAGACCAAATATATATATACATTCACATAACCAAATAGGGTTTTCTCAAAAGGCTTTCAGGGGCACACTGGAGAGAGTTGTTCATTTTACTTAAAGGAATCAAAGAAATATTCCCCCAAGAGGTAAAGTTTGAGCTGCCTTTGAAGTATGGATAGGTGTTCACCAGGCAAAAGAGCATAAGGAAGAATGTCATTCAAACCTAGAGTAGCAAGGCAAGAGAAATTAAAAAGTACTGGGTGCTCCACTATCAAATTCAGGGTGTCTAAAAAGGTGTGAAAACTCACAGTAGGTTTAGTAACAGAGGGTAGGCAAAAAGTAGAAAAAGCCTTACAGAGGCAAGGCTAAGGAATTTTAAGTGTATTTATAGCTATTGGTTCTCAAACTTTAGTGTGTATCAGAACTACCCTCAAGGTTTGCTAAAAGTAGAGAATGCTGGGCCCCATCACCACAGTTTTCCATTAAGAGTAGGATGGGCTTATTTCACTTAGCCAGGGAGGTTGGGAAGGGGAGGGTAAGAGATCAACCAAAGGACCTGTATGCATGCATATAAGCATAACCAATGGACATAAGACACTGGGGGATAGGGGAGGCTAGGGGACTGTCTAGGGCGGGGGGGGGGGAATGGACACATATGCAATACCCTTCGTAATAAAAAATTTAAAAAAAAAAGAGTAGGATGGGGCTCAGAAATTTGCATTTCTAACAAATTCTCAGGTGATGTTGGTTCAGGGACCACACTTCAAGAACTGCTACCACAGGCAACAAAAAGCCACCAAGAGTAAGGGGGTAGCTTGATGTGGATGCCTCTACTATTATTTTTATGTTTCTAAAGATATTTTTTAAAGAAATATGTGTTTTATTGCTTAAAGTATTACAAAGAGTATTACATATGTCTCCTCTTTTTTTCTCCCCTTGACCTTCCCCTGGCCTCCCCTACCCCCCAGTGTCTTGTGTCCATTGGTTATGCTTATATGCATGCATACAAGTCCTTCGGTTGATCTCTTACCCCGCCCCTGCCCCCAACCCTCCCGGCCTTCCTGCTGTAGTTTGACAGTCTGTATATTTTGACAGCAGCATGGATGACAGAATGGAGATAAGAAAAATGGATAGGAGACTACTGTTAAACGATAAAGATAATAGGAATGGCTCTGAGAATGAAGAAGAACTAACACTAAAGGACTAAGGAGGCAGAGATGGGAGAATTGCTTACTGGTTATTTGTGGTATAATATAGATGGATGTGTTGAAGATTATTTATGATCTCCTATTACCACCATGAAGTTATTTTGTTTGTTTTTTTTCAGAACAAAACAGTTTGTCTTCATTTAAGCTCTTAGGAAGCATGAATAAATATTTAAATCTCCATGTATCTTGTATGTCATGGAGGAAATTGTTAATGGACTCTTAACTAGCTATTAAAGGATCTTTGGAAAAACAAAAACAAATCATGCCTATACAGTCACTTCTTAATTATAACGCTAAAATCTTAGCCAACAACCTTTTAATATCCACATGAGCCCCAGTAAATTTTAAGCTAAGAGTTGAGATTTATAAGACATCTAGAAAAAAGGGACAAAATTATGATATGTACATTGTAAAGTCCATTGTCTACATTGATTAAATTTTTTAAAATATATTTTTATTGATTTCAGAGAGGAAAGGAGAGGGAGAGATAGAAACATCAATAGTGAGAAAGAATCATTGATTGGCCTCCTGCACAACCCCTACTGGGGATTGAGCCAGCAAACTAGGCATGTGCCCTGACAGGAAATCAAACCCTGACCTCCTGGTTCATAGGTAAATGCTCAACCACTGAGCCACTGCAGCCGGGCAACATTGATTAAATTTAACAAGGTAGTGTTTTCTTTCTTCCAAGTGTCCACAACAACATTACTTTCTTCCCTCACTTACTAATACATGTTTTTCCTTCCTGCTGGCTTTAACTATTGGGGGAAATTTTTCATTCTGCTGGTGGCATGTTTTTATGAAGAAATGTTCTAACAGATTAATATTCTCTGACTTCTGTCATTTGCCAGGGTCCCCTCAGTCCTTCCCACGAGGAACAAATGCTTTCTTTGTGGGTGTCATTTTACAATTCTTAGTGACTTCTTTAGACATTTTTAAATGCTTTTATAAGGGACTAAGCATGGGAAGAAAAATAGGATTCTTATCCCAACTTGTATAAATAAATTCACACTTGAAAGAGAATGCTAAGCTTCTAGATTTCTAAATAGGCCTTTGAAAGCCATTCTTTCACTTACCACCATGAAGTACAGAACACAGTCAGCAGAACAGAGGGTCTCAAAGACAAATGTTATTCTTCCCAATTCAGAACCCATGGCTCCAGTCATAGATGTTGGTGGTCTATTTGACATTAAAATTACAATATTATAGTGCATTCTAAATACAATCTGGAACAAAATTATCGCTTTTTACATTAAGCTGAAAGCCATGCTCTCCTCATCCCATAATCTACTGCTCCCTACAGCCCAACTCTTTCCTCACTCAATCTCTGCTTGGCCATACCCTTTGTTATAAATGGAGTCTCCACAACCATGTTACTGTGCTTGAATTTCCTGGTATAAAGGCTACCACCCATCCTAAAGCAAGCAAAAGACACCTATGGGAAATTTCAACATGGAAGATTAAAGCAAAATGAGATTTTAAAATGTGTGACATGCTAATAGAGAAAAATAAACATATAAACTATAAGATACTACTGCATATAACCTGGACTAAGATATCCTCATTAAGCATCCAAAAATCATGATTATTGTAACATTTGGATAAAATATTGTTTAAACCTTTCAGCTTCATCTAACTAATACACAATTATAGTGATAGTTTCTCCATCACTGATTCTATAGATATTCTTAAACATATTACCTTACTTGCTATTTGCTAAAGATATCACAATGTTAATATATTTTATAAAGGCAATCCTACTCCATCTATTTCTAGAGGGAAACAGGCATGAGGGTTCTTACAGAAGGGAATCAGAATGGGTTTTCCTTACTTAAATCCTGGGATATGCAAGTTTAAGATCAGGTAATCATTATCAGAACCTCCAGCCCCACTCTGGATATGATCTCCAGCCACCTCCCAACCTGGAAATGACAAAGATCATCTTTGTTAGTAAAAATTCCATTATTTATTTCTAAGAATTTTTAAATGAAGTTACAGAAAGACCAGTAGTGTTTCAAAGTTAGAAATACTTCAAAAGAATTCCCTATTTTTAAATTGAAGTTGCAAATTACAACTGGGCTCCCACCACCGCTGCTTTTTCTTTGGTTCCACCCCATGATTCCACCACGTTGGTAGGTAGACTCCTACCTACCAAAAAAGACATTCCTTATGATTCCTCAGAAATAATCAAGTAATGCATATTTTTTGCATAAAAGTTATTTAATGAGAAAACTATTTCTCAGTGAGGCATGACTATCTTTTTTTAAACTAAAACAGATGGTCTTCATTCATTCTAATATAATAAGATAGAAAATCCTAGTCTCCAGGTAACCAATGAGAAATAGAAACCTCAAATTACTTAATGAAGAAGATCTGAAGTCTAGAGTTATTTTTTATAGTTTTCTATATTGTTGTTCCCTAATTTAACTCTTGTTCTACGTTCATTCACTTATTCACTCATTCAATTGGCACTCACTGAGTGCTAAGGACCATGATATGCACTAGGGATAGAAAGACAAGACTAGGTTCTACCTCACTGAAGATTCAGAAGAATATGAGAGACACATACACACTACAATTGTCAACAGTATGGGAGATACAGATGTACATAGAAGGTGATGGGGGGAGATGGGAATCTGTCCTCTGCACAAAAACAACCAACATACCATAGGCACAACTCAGTGCTAAGCTCTCTAAGAACTTAAAATGTAAGAACATTCAGCAACCATCCTATAGAACTCTGTCATGTTTTCAAGTTTTCAGTAAGTGGGGTTCATCAGTATTTTGTAATCAGGGTCACAGACTTCATAGGCAAAAAGAGATAGAGATGATTTAACAACCTCTCACCACGGCTCAGTGCTGAGCCAGCACAAACTAATCCAGGCAGAAATGCTGCCACCCTACCCTTCAAAATGGCAAATGCCATAGACTTCATTACTTGCCCTGGTAATCTACTCTGGTATTTATAACCATAACTGGTCCTCCTCAACATCTACCTCTACACTGAGCCCAGTGCAAAATAGCTTATATTCCTTTGGAAAGTCATCCGGCTGTAACACCGCAGTTACTATTTTTATGTGAGGGCCCGAAGATGGGCAAGCAGCCAAATAAGATTGAAGTTTCTCGTACCCACAGGTAGTATGTTTGTAAAGAGCGGAAACTGGACGTCTCTGCTGCCAAAATACATCCAAGAGGCTGACTCTGAACTCACCATTCATCCCATCACACTTTGAATTCCCAACATTAAAGCAGGAGGTTTTCATGTTGCCGGGAAGGACATTCCACCATTTGTATTCAAAGCCAAGGGCAGGCTCTGTTCCCGCTGGACATGGTCTACATTCTGCAGGAGACAAGTGGGGCAAACAGTGACTGTTAAACTGCATCTTGACAACTTCTTCTCCCTTTGTTCCAAGCACTGCTGAATTTTAATTAGCAGAGAGGGAAGTGGGAAGGAGAAATCCTGAGCCACCAATTCCCTGAAGAATTAATAACTTTTTCAAAAACAATCTGGAAAGAAAAATAATTCTGAATACATTATACACATAGATACTTGACTTACATGAAAAGGGAAAAATGCCAAATCTTTTAAAGTGATTTCCCCCTCATTTCTGGGAGTAACTGCCACGACTGAATTATCCCCTACAAGAAAAGTAAGTCTGAAACACGTTCTCTTACATGTGATTTTAGAATCAGTACCCTTCACCTCATGAATAAGTAAACATTTCACACTTCCTATTGGTTATTAAATGGAACAGCATATCATGCAATTTAATTATGGATTGATTACTTGAAGTTCAAAACATTAAACTTCAAAATGTTAAATGTTAAAAAAAATACTAGGAGTTGAGGGGTTTGGAAAGAGTTAAGATTTATGAATAAACCTGATTTAAGTTAACAACTGCTCTATTGAAATGGAAGGGTCTTTTCTAACCTTTTTTTTTTTTTTTACCCAAGACACTTTGCATTATCACATCAGTAAGAGAAGGGTTAGGGAGAGAAAATGTTCACTGAGCAAACACTTCCAGTACCAAAGTATTGCAGGAGACATTTTTATATAATCTGCTCAGTAATGATGAGCTAGATATTATTACCCACAATTTTTAGATGAGAAAACTGAAGTTCCAAAGGTTTAAGTAACTTGAATAGATAACACTATTGGTAGCCTGCCAGATATGGACTCAAAAACCAAGACAATTTGACTCTTACGTCCTTTTCATGTTATTTCTCAAAGGCTCAGGATATTAAGTATGCTGCATGGCTATATTCCAGTAAGAAATCTGCAATTAAAATGCACTGTAATCCCTGTCTACCAAAATTAAAACAAATTCTCTAACCACCTTCGACATTATTTGGTAAGTACTAAAATTTTCCCAACTACACACTTTGAAACAATTGACTTAGGGAATATAATATGCTATGTGATTAAAATGAGCACGTTTTTATGTTATTGCATAAAATGTGACTTATTATTCCAATATAAAGCTGAATTAGAAGACATTATATTTTATGCTTGCATCAATATCTGCGTACATATACTCTGCAAATGAAGTGCTTATTCTTAATCGTTTAATATGGTGGAACTTCTTATCACTACCCAAAGGCGGAGTCATCCCATAAGAGTGTCTTACACAAAATGCCATTAAAAAGCAATCCTTACAAGATGTTAAATAAACCACTGCAGTCTCATGATACCATTATCATATTTCTCAACTCTACTTCAGTCTCTGAAAAAAAATGTATGTTTTAAAGAATGATTTCCTAAGAACAATTAGAACAAAGTTACAGGAGTCCAACAAGATTATTATGCTAAAGGTCCAAGTATTGGACTAACTGATATCCTACCCTTTGTTCCATCTGAAAACGTCCCAGGAGGGCAGGGATGGCAAGAAGATGATCCATTGTTATAAAATCCAGGGTTGCAAGGTGGACAATCCTTCTTCTCTCCAGAAGGGGGCAACCTAATAGCATCTGTGAGATCTTCCCGGCAGATTTTGGGCTCTATCCACTTGTACATTATCTGTGTCTGCAAAAAAAAAAAAAAAAAAAAAAAAAGGCTTTTAAGTCATTTAATATCCTTTATTTGCTTTAAACTTCCAATAGCACAAATGTTAAACGGACAGCCTAGAAAAATTCCAAACGGTGATATACTAGAAGGGCCAAATAAAGACAATCTAAAACATTAGTAAGAAAATGAGACTCCCCCAAAATAAATAAAACTTTAGTGATGAAAGACCATTATTTCCAAGTATTTTTGCCCTAAACTAAAGGTGGCTATACTTCAGACAGATCATGTTCCTCATCATGAAATTCCTCTTTAAAATACAGATATGGTGATTATGGCCCGTACTCTTCTATCCACTCACTTTATTTACTCCTTAACCAACATAAGTTTCTATGCAGAGACTATCTTTTTCACTCTGAGACCTGCACTACTCTCTCCCTTTCCCTCAACCACAGTACCCACCACCAACCTTTCCACATAGTGATAAAAAATTATTTTTAAAGAAGAATATGTCTAGCTTCACATTTTCATCCTATTGTTTCATAAATATTGGGAGCTACTCTCTGGATCTTTTCCAGTAACATGATATTAGACTCCAAGGCCTGTAGCTAAGATATCTTCTCCCAAGGGTTTTAGGCCCTCCGGCATGTGCGCTGAACATGAGGATTAAGACAGCCTCCAGGCTTCCAGTCAAGGTGGTAGTATAAATAAACACAGTACTGGCACCCTCCTAGGGCTACGTCAAAATTACAACTAAACTACGGAACTACCATTATTCAGAACCACCTGAAATCTAGCTGAACAGACCCCTGTAACTACCCTTCTTTCTTCTCTCTTTCTCTCAAATCAATCAATATATGAAATTTAAAAAATGATAAAGACAGCCTCTAATTTCAGAGAGGGAAGTCCTTTAAACCTTATCCTTTCATTCTTCCTCACACATTCATACACCCCCGACACAAAACGAAATAAAACAAAATTAGCTATGACTCAGCCAAACCCAGAACACTGTAATTATAAAATTATTCTCTTTTGAAACCAAACCATTAAATGGGTTTGCCATTTCAAAAGCAAAATTGGTATTATCAGTGGGGAGAGAGGTATTCTAAATGCAAAGAAGAAAATAAGTAAATTTTTCATAGCTAAATATGGCTTTTTAAAAAAGAAATTAATAGCTTCCTTCATTAGACATATAATCTGCTTAACATATCTTTCCCTTTAAAAACAATATCTGTAATAATAAGCCTAATATTAAAGCTGGAGGACCAAAATTAAAGGCAATTCTCTGTAGCCATTTTCAGTTAATAGAAAATCATATATATTAAACTCTTTAGGCCACTCAATTTTATCTGAAGTATTCTCTTATGGAAGAGTAAACTATCTTGTCGAAAGAAGGATGCTTAAGAAAACACTTTAAAAGTTGGATAAACATCTCAACAGAATTATAAATAACTTTTTTTTTTCATTTTACAACTCTCTCTTTCTGCGTTCGTTTTATGCCTACATCATGAAACAGTCTAACCAGCCACTTCACCCATCTGCCTCTCTCTTACCATCTGTAAAACGATGGTCTGCCGGAGCTCCTAAATAGCTGAAAAAATAAATTAGATCCTGTATCCAAAAGGGCTTCCCAACCCCCCCGAGAAAGGCAATATAAAATTCCAAGAATGTAAGCAAAAATATCATCATATTGGGGAGATCATCTTTTTAAAATTCTCGCTTAACAAGTACAGAAAATAACTTTTTAATCTTTGCCAATTCAAAAATTTGCTGATTTATTTTTGTCATTAATTAAAGTTGTAATGCACTGTGTGTGAGTTACTGCAGTGTTGGGAATAGTTGGTTCCCACGTGGGAGTGGGCACAGCTCTGAGGCTGTGCACTGAGGACTGACCATGGGGGCCTACATGTAATCTTCCTCCCTCCCCCCACTTCGGGAGGTCAGTATTATTATTATTATCCTCAAGTTTATTTCTCCAAAGTTATACATAGCTAGTAAATGGTAAAGGAACATGAGTCAAGGAGAATGCATTTGGAAAGCGTAAAAATAATAAAATATGCAAATAAATTTTCAAGAGGTTAACTAACCACATGCTTTGCAACCCAAGCACAATTGATGCTTAAAAACTAGAAAATGTGCACCACCTTCAAACATGCAAACATTTAGAAGTCAAATTTTAAATTCTCTGCAGTAAAAGTTTTGTTCGCAACGCCTTGCTTCACATGGCAGACTGATTCTGTGCCTCTCTTTCTAATGGGGACAGATGCTTTCAAGTCTGGCTGACGGGAAAAGCTAATCAGCAATATTAATGATTTGTAGCACCAGATGGCTCACAGTGAAGGTGAAAACCCAACAATCAATTCATTCTTTGGCAACTTGAGATAAAATTATGAAATGTTTTATGAAACCAAAACCTTAATAGAGCAAAACTTAGCAGATTGCTACTAAGATTACAGAAGAACTATAGTTTCCAAGTGTATTTCTATTAAGTATGAATAAAACACAGTTTATTGATACACACAATACACATGGAGGTATCAATTGGAAGCTGGTTCTTACATTGAAATAAAATTCAAGACGGGGAGGACTAAACTTTAGATGAATTTTGAGACTGAATTTGTCCATGACTTTCCTCCTTCAAACGTCCCTGCACAAATGCACCAAGGCTTTGTAGACTGGCTGAATTCATCAGAGATTAATTACATGTGCTTTTAAAGGATCTACCAACGACCACTCCAACCTGACTGCCTTGGGCTTCATCATGTTACAGCTCAGATGTTCCCAACTAGGCTATCGCTTGCCTGTCTGCCTCTCCCAAACCTGATCCTTTCTGGTTGTAACCCACCGGGCACCCATCATTGGTCTCTCTTGCAGTCACCCGTACCATTCTGCCTTGCTTTGCCTGTTCCTGCCTTCAAAGCCATGCTCAATATCCACATGGGCTCTGAGCACTTCCTCAATGCACCCATCTACATATCGGCACTCACTTGGATTCCTTTACTATGAAGCCTTTGATGTGATCTCTTTCCCCTTGTGGTTACCTACTCGGCCCTCTTCTTCCTTTATGTTAAGACACCATGGGGTTTGACATTGTACTGGAAATCCTAGCCAAGGTTGTAGGCAAGAAAATTTTCTACAATTAGATTGGGGTGAATATACTAAAAACAATGAATTGACACTTCAAGGATATATTATATGGTGTGAGAATTACATCTCAATAAAACTGTTTTTTAAAGATTTTTAAAGAAGATTATAATAACATTTTTATTTTAAACAAATGCAGAAATCCCTAATCACTGAGAAAAGTCATGTTGTTTTCCCATCATCCTAAGAAACAAATGTGTTTGACTTGTTTAGATCATATAGGAAGAAAGGCAGATCTAAAGCCATATCCTTTATATGCTAATTTTAATGTCTCCTATATCTTACTCCTGCTATATAATTCAGAAGTACTGTTATAGACCTTAAGCATTTGGAATACTTTATAATATTGAAGTTTGTTAAAGGTAAGGAAAAGTGCTAGATAATCTGATACCAAAACACTAGCAAACCCTTTATGGTCCATCAAGACCAGGAATGTGGTCTAATATTAAGCATTAAAAGTAAACTACTTAAAAAGAACTTGCGACCTAAGGGTAAGTACAATAACCATATACGTATAAAATTATAGATTAGGACCTCAGATTAAGAAAATAAAGCAATACTGGCATCTATGTGGGTTTTCCAAATTAGGTCAAGATATTAACTGTCATGATTTTGAAGATGCAAACATTCAGAAAGTATGTTGCATCATACCCACTTGAATCTCAACTTCTCCTACTGAATAGGCTAGTGTAGGCTGACACTTTTTAATTAAGAGAACGGCAGGTCAGCTGCATAGTTCATGTGTGCATTTTGCCTCTGGCTCAGTGTTGTTTATATGGTAATTACTCTGCATTTTCTAAATGCAATTACACAGCAATCTGCCATGACTAAATTAGCCAATGGCTGCACGGCTTTTTTATTGACAAAACCTACTGAGAAACCAAATAATTAAAGAGAAGTTACAGGATACAACAGGTCCCCAAGTAAAGTCGTTTCATTCAATATCCTCTGTGGTTTCATTATAACAATGTTGACTCTTGTTTATATCAATTAGCCTAGAGTAAAACTGGTTCACTTCAAGTCTCAAAACCTATCAATAATGTTAAAGTGAGGACTTACTGGATTTCCATCCTGTGAGTCACAGGACACATTTTAAGGCTGTACTACTCCTGAACGTATTACTTTCTTAAACATATGACTGTTAAAAAAAATAGCAGGGATTTATTGGGCACTCAGTATGTGCCAGGCACTGTGCTAGGAACCTTCCATTGAATAGCTCATATTCTCGTAGCAGCCTCAGGAAATAGCTACAGAGATTATCCCTATTTTACTAATGAAAACACTGAAACTTAGGCACAGCCAATAACTTGCCCACAGCACTAATTAGTAGATTGGAAAATCAAAGCCAAGAAGGCAGGCTTCAGAAGATAAATTATTAAATTTCCTCTGAACTACTTTAGATACATGTGTTATAAATCAGCTCATTCAACTCTCTCATCAACAAATAAAAGTCTGCTAAAATTGGGAAGATGGCTGAATAAACATGAAATGGAGTGCACTCAACACTGCCAATACCTTTCCATCTTCATCACATGGAGTGTGGATCTGAAAATAGTCTTTTGTGGTACAGGGAGGGCGCTCCATACACTCGCCAGATCCTTCTTCTGCAACAACAAGAAATGCATTTCAGAAATGAGTCCTTTGTGGGCAAAGGGCAAAAAAACAAAATAAACAAACAAACAAAAGAGAAATAACTAAAAAGTTAAAACAACCTCACCAGAGGAATTTAGGTACAACTAGCTAGGCCTAAAGAAGATAAGGGCTTACATTTTTATTTTCACTAGAGCAATAAGTGTTTCCATGATACACCTGGGACATATCACAGTTTTTCCAAGAAGACATTAGACTTATTCTATTGTCATTAAAATTGTAAATTTAGAACAAATGAAAAGTTTCTAGATATATCTCATGTCCACAAATCATCTAAAAGTACAGCATGAATTCAGATTAGTATAAACACATTCCAAGCAGTTACCTGTGAAGTAAGAAATAGTAAAAAATCACAGACAAAAGGAAAAGTCATGAAGAAAGGGGTAAAAGTAATTTTTATCCACTCAACATTGATTCACTTCAGCCCTTTGGCGTCTAGCCCATTGTTCCTGTCCCACTTACATGTGATATCTGGCTTAGGACTATACACTCAACAAATGTACATTTAAAAAGAAAAGAACATAGAATATAAATTGGCAAAGATTAGACCCACCTGAAAACTGGGAGTCCTCTGCACACTTTATGCATTCTTTGGCTCCTTTCTCAGAATAGGTGTTTCTGGGACACACTTGGCAGTTGAACGAACCTGGTTTATTGCTGAAGGTGCCCGGCTTGCATGGAAAGCATTCTGATGTGTATGCCACTCCTGTGGGACAGTAACACACAGAGCATGAGAGGGAGGACCCAACAGAAGTGAGCAAATCAGCACCTTCTTTCAGCTTCTCCCAGAAATGAGAGAGCATTATTAACACTGAGCTCAGCCCAAATCCTTTCTCTCATTCATTTCAACCCCAAGAAGTGTTTGCTGCATGCAGGTAACTGGGATAAATATTGAATAAAACACAGTAAGTAGAGCAAACACTGAAGCAAGAGATTGGCATTGGTTAGAGGTACAGTAAATGTATAAACTCAGTTGTCAAAAGACAAGTCCACGAACCCAGAGTGGGATAAACTCTACGGTCCCTTCCAAGTCTACAAGCTACCATTCTCTGATCTCTGTGGCTACCTGTTTGTTCCCTTTCTATGCTGCTCACTAAGTCACTGGCAAGACTTCACAGACCCTAGGAAGGGCTTGACTTTTCTTCTGGTTTGTAATTTCAGCCTTTGCCAGCAGATGTCCCTAGGACTAATGAGTTAGCATCACAGGAACAAGTACACTTTAAAAATATTAAAACACAAGCCAAACTTTCATAAAGGAGAATCACAGCTTTAATTATAAGTAACCCTGAGACTGAATAATTTCAGGGTTTACTGGCCACTTTCCTGGGCCACAAAGGCCCAGCTGATTCAAAAGAAGCACAAGAACCAGCCCACAATGAGCACTGATCTATAAACTAGGCGGTCACAGTGTAATTCCAGGTCAGGGCACATGCCCAGGTTGTAGGTGCAATCCCCATTGGAGGAGGGGGGTGCGGGTGGAGGGGGGGCATGCAGGAGGCAGCCGAATCAACGATTCTCTCTCATCATTGATGTTTCCATCTTTCTCTCCCTCTCCTCCCTTCCTCTCTTGAAATTATATATATATATATAGCAGCACAAGAGAAGATTTGGGAGATAGTCAGGTCAAGATGTTTATTTTATTGTCATTTTTTTTGGATGCAACAGTGACCTGAGTAAGCTCAATGACTGGCACTATAGACATTACTCAAATGCATAATAGGCTCTTATTAACAAAGACATTTTTCTTTTATTTAAAGACACCTAAAATTGTCATCATGTGTACTTTTTCACACAGATTAAATAATGCAGTTTAAGGTACAAAAAAGAAAAAAAATCAGTCAACTTTCCAAGAATAAAACCAGCACTTCTACACCTGAATGATACTTAACATATTAATTCCTGTCCCATAAACTCTTGGGCCAATCAAACCAACAATTCAATCAATATTTAACTCAATATAAAATGTGATAGGTGACTACTAAAACAGATTGCTGCAAAATACCTTCAATTGTGATATTTTTTACCAACACTGGCTTGACTGCCTTAGAACCCATAAGGATGCCTGTAGTTCTCCAGTACAGTATGTTTGGGCCAGACTTTAGCATTACCTGTAAAGCAAAACACAAGACACTCAGGTTAGCTAAGCCGTGCTACATCCATAACCATGCCTGAAAGCTAATCTCGCGTACATTTTTCTTTGAATTATAGTGAAACACCATTATTTTGGAATCCATAAATTTAAGTCTACTGCTAATTCAGACCTAAGCTCTGCTGAAGTTCAAATTTTCTTAAAAAAAATACTTTGCCAATCCAAAAAAATATAGTAATAAAGCAAGAAAATTCCTCAAGTCTAAAGAAAAAGATAAAATTATTTTCAAAACATTTGCATGAAGTTTTGGTTTATATTTAAGAGACTCATTTTAGAGAGTGAAAGGCACTCAGATCAATTATATATATATTTATTGGATGCCACTATTCATAAGCAGACTTTGAGTTCTGAGAACAAAAAGCAACAGACTGAATTGGCTTCTTTTTTAATTTATTTAACCCCTTCCCCAACAATTTTTTTGTTAAAAACGTTTCTTTTTCAGACTAATTTTTTTATTTTGGTTCTATATAGTATTTTTGATGCTGGTTATGAAAACAGTTTGTAACTCGTCTTCCTATAAACCATATTTTTTTTACCATATTTTCTTAGTATACTCGTCGACGACTGAAAAAGAACATTTTGTGAAAACGAGTATACACGTTTCTGCCGGGGAAGGGGTTAATAAGCAATACTGCAAAAGCAACAAGAGAAAATAGGACTGTTCTTATAAAAGAACCTGATTTAATTCTATGATTTTAGAACTTAAATGTTACTATGTCTAATATGGGCTTTCTTTGCCACTGGGATATTTTTCTAATTATAAATCAAACTAACTTTCTGAGAAATGTCATGCTAATTCAGACAAGCAAACTAATTTTAAGGGTCCCTTGCTTTCTCATTTGCCACCCTTATTCTTCTATGTAGACCCTGGCCAAATCCAAACTGTATAAACTTAAAACATATCCAATCATTTCACCTTGCCAGGGATTCAGAGAAGTAATACATTAGGTACTTTTGTCTTGCATGAAGTCTTCATAAGTGAAGAAAGCGAATTTGTTGCCAAGGGTTATTTGTGCCTTCAAAGCCCAGCCGAGAGAAGGCTTAGGCAAATAGATCTTAAGTGGTATTAACGTCACTTCCAGGCATACAGCTCAAAAAATACTCGGAAAAGTAGGTGTATTAATCACTCCAAGCAGGAGTCCCTGGATGGTCACTTACTGAAACAGAGCTCCGTCTGCATTTTGGGCACCCATGTATCATTTTTTTTATCCCTGCAAGAGTGGTTTTATTTCTTTTTTTTTTCTTTTTTTCTTTTTGCTACTTCATTTTATTTTTGGGGTTTTTTATTTTATTTTATTGTTCAAAGCATTACTGATAGTAGTACATATGTCTCCTCCACCCACCCCCCTGCCATTGACCTTCCCCAGCCTCCCCTACCCTCTGGCTCATGCCCTCACTCCACCCCGCCCACCCCCCAGTGTCTTGTGTCCATTGGTTATGCTTATATGCATGCATACAAGTCCTTTGGTTTTATTTCTTACATGAAAAAAAAAAAACAAATTCAAAGAGATTAAGCCAGTTGCCTAAAGAAATACAGCTACTATAAGGCAGAGTTTGATTTTAAATGCATGTGTCATTCCAAAGGCACAGTGCCTCAAATAATAGCAGATGCATGGACTGTGTTACCTGATATTTGCCTTCAGGCATTTACTAGTACAGTTAAGGTGTGGAGAATTAGGCAGTTACTTTATTTCAATGGGCAGGCATTTTTCAAAGGGCAAAATTTTTGACCCATCAATGGCAAATAGACAGGAGACGGTTTAGGTTCCAAACACAGATGAATTTTGTGGTAATCAGAGCTACCTGACAATAGAGTCAACACAGTTCCCAACAAAGCAATCTTGAAAAATCACTTATGGAGGGTGCGAGTGGGACAGGGGACGACTGCAGAGAAAGCTGGGTGAAAGGAACTCAAGGATCCTTCCAACGCAAGAGCCACTGATTCTCTGCCATGTGACAGGCACATCTGTAAATGTAGATACTCAGAGGTTTTGCATATTGGTTAGATCAGCCTTATTTCTTGTTATTGCCCCCTTTGAAAGGAGGAAATTTGAAGATGGGAAAGAGAAAGGAGAGATCCTAAGGAAAAAGGGAAAGGGAAAGAAAAATACCTAGAAAGAGATTGAGTCCATGAAACTTGGTCTCTAACTGGAAATTTTCTAAATTCATGAACAATTTTGAAGTTTTTTTTTTCCTTAAAAATAAACTTTTAAAAACGGTTGGAAGAGGAAGGAGAAGAATGGGGTTGGTGAGCGAGGAGAAGAACAAAGAGAGACTTACAGAATGTGAGCCCCACTCCCCACTGTCCGTGAGCTTGACCCACTTGTCCGCCGTGGTGTCCATCTCCTGGCACTGATCGTTCTGAATCTGTGGAACAAACACAATGGTCCCAGTATATCTTCTTGAATAATGGCTTTAATTAAATGTGCTACTCAGCATAGGACAGGCTGCAATAACTTCTTTTAATACGTACATTCAACAATGCCCATGAGTCATTTTCAACAAAGTCAACAAACACATCAAGACCTCTGAAACCGAAGTGACAACTGCTGCGCATGAGTGGTTATAGACAAACCATTGTCATTATTTTAACAGAAAGGCTATCTCACTGAGGAGGAAGGAGGGGAGTGGAGAAGAGAAAGAAGGAAAGAGCAGTTCATACTGAAAATTCACATCAAGAGAAAAAGTAACTACAAAAATCTTACCAAATTGTTTTAAAAGCTTGCATTCGCCATGCAGGCCCAATGGTATAAAAATTAAGTTTGCTTTTTAAATAATATTTGGGGCAGTAAAATCTTAAATTAATAAATAAATTACGTCTGCTTTGTTTTCAGTTCCCCAGGACTTAATCCAAATGTATAGGTCAAGTGGCCACAGTCAATGTCCCAAAATTTTTACTTGGGGGCAAATGTTAATCATTTGCCATACTGATTCAAAGGACTACACAATTAATATCTTTAGCACCAAACACTTTGTGCTTTCCAGAAAATTCTTCCAAAATGCCTAGGGTTTAGGACACTACTTTTCCAGATCTATGAAGAAGACAGAAACATCAAAAGTTAGGCCATCGTTACAGTATTGCACAATAGTCATCAATAGAGTAGGGTTAAAGTAGGTTCTCATCACTTATTCTACTTCCACCCAAATGGCACTTTCTTTTCTAAATCATTCTTGCCACGTCATGCATCCTCTGGACCAGAATATGTTCTCCATCATGAAATTTCCTAAAGACTTACTAACTAGAAAAATAGGTCCTTTGCCATCCAAATACCAGAGAATTTCCACTACTGAGGATATTGGCTTCAATTGAATCCAAGTATCCTATTTGTATTATAAGCATAATGGCCATTTTAATGTAAGTGTTAAGCCATTCTAGAACAGATATGAACCCTGAATATCCCTTTGGTGGTCAGTGTTTGGATAAGCTGACAGCTTTTTTTCAGCCAAAATCAGACATCATGTGTCATCATGATATTCTTTCTACTGGCATTCTAGGCACCTGAGCTCTGTTATTCATTCTAAAAGTAACTAGCAACGGTATAGCCGCGGTCCAATCCATTATTCTGTCTAGGTTTCAGTCTCATCATTTAAAAGGGGGGCGGGGCTGACTGAACGTCTCATACAGTCCCAAAATAAATACTGTATTGGTTCAAATTATGTAAGGCCCATAGGTACAACTGCATCTTTCAGTCCTCACACATTTCCTTTCCACTCGCCCTTAGCAGGATGACCTGAGTCAATAAATCACAACCTAGGAGGCGGACGCATCATTGGAAGGAGGAACATGAACTTGCCATCCCTCTTCAGTCTCTAACCAGAAGAACAAAGGCTTCTTGAAAGGAAGTAATGAAACTTCACGCCTCTGGAGGACCGTTACTGACAATCCTCAAAGCACTTGCTGGACAATATAAAACTAAGTGCTTATTCGAACAATTATATAATTACCTTGCTTCTTAACTTTAGCTTAGTTTGAGTGATATTGCAAAATTGTCCCATAAAATAGGTAAGTATTCACCCTAAGGAGTGTTTTATAAACAAAATGCAGCTTAAAAAGCAAATCTGAATGTTGCTTAATATCTTAAACTCATCAAAGCGTATTAGAGCTAGCAGGGCTCCTTAAAAGGTCCATCACACAATCCACTTCACAAAAGGGAATGCTGAGGGTTGAAAAGTAAACATAATTGCCCAATAACACACAGCTAGCACTTGCAGAGATGGGACTAGAGCCAGAATCTCTTGACTTCAAATCTAAGGTTCATACTTTAATCAAAAACATCTCTTCCTACCAACTTCTGATTTAGAAATTTCCGTTATCAAGAGCAATGTATATTTGTTTTAGAATTTTTAGTACATTTCCCCCTAAAATCTGTACTACAGAAACATTTTAAAAGATATTTTAGAAGTTACATGCACACACTTTTTTTTTTTAGTATAAGACATCAATGGGAAAACATTTTCTCAAACATTTGAGTCACTGCCACAACAAATATTCGCTAAATTAGCTACAGTTTATATAAAATAGTTAAATAATTTTAGAGGTAAAGCCTATTCTGTTAAACTATTATTTTATCCTGTATATTGTAATGCTATTTAATCTCTTACCAGAGACATCAGCTATCCCATCCATTAATTCCTTTAGATTGTGTACAACTGACAGAATCAAAATCTACAGCCACCTGTACTTCTGAAATAGTGTCCATGAATACAGTTAAATAATTCAAATATTTGAAATTGCAGGGAAAAAAAGTTTTTAAACAAAAATTGAATTTGGTGGAGACATATTTTTAACAAAAAGCATCTGTTGCTACAAAAATAACAATTTTTAAAATGAATCTAGGGGAAAATATCACACAAAGAGTCTACACCAAACGGTCATCTAATGATCATAACCAAAAGTAAAACAAGCTCAATGTTACTCTACAGGCAAGAGCTCAGAGGTAAAGAAATAGTATTTCTATAATAAAATATTATAGAAAAAAAGTAAAGTTGTCTTTTAGCATCAAAAGTTTCAGTTAACACACACACAAAAAAGAAAAACTGAGAAGGCATAAAGTGTAATGGAAACAACAGATTAAGGTAAATATTACATAAATGTCCCATAAAAAGTATATTTCAGAATATAAAAGGCCTTACAAAGAACTCAAAGAAGATGTTGTTGTCGACGTACTGGTACTCAAAGAAGACATTACCCGACTTCTTAAGGTGCACAGCATAGATCAAAGACACGGTGCAGTCGTCACGATTTGACTCTATGTAATTTCCACGAGGGACCCAAGAAGAGCTGTGGAAACAAAACCAAGGGGCATCTTACATGCGGGTTCAGAAACCTCCTGTGTAACTCGGATTCAAAAGTCGTTCCTTCAGCAAGGCACAGCAGAGAAGACCAGAGCTTTTCTGGAATTCAACAGCCAACACCATTACTGGGAAAAGAGTCATTGCTTATGGCACACAATTCCCTAAATCTTGGTAAGATCAATTTGCTATGACACTGCTATTTTTCATCAAAACTTTGATCACTAAAGAGACAATCACTAATTCTACTAGTTTGGGGTAGAATTGTTCCCTCAAACAACATCTGAAATTTTATTTATTGACAAATACACATGGTGGGAGGTGAGAAGATTCCTTGATATGAGAGAAGAAATAATCCTAGAAAACACCCGTTTAAAATGAACCTAAATAAAATAGAGATCGCAGTTTCATAGTATATAATGAGGTAAAAGTCTGGAATTTTTATCTAAAAAAAAGATAAAAACTTAAGAAAATATACTGGTAAACAGCATTTGGGTTGTCAATCTAACCATAAGTTAATTCTTAGAATCAATGAGTCGTGTGTCAAGTTTGGGGGCAAAAAAGCAATTCCAACTGAACTGTACAACAGATAACACAACTTAACATTCTTCTCTACAGGTTTAACTTTTTATTTAGATAAGAGTGAGATTTTTTAACTCTTTTCTTTTTTCTAACAGAAATAAATTCTGAACAAAAGACTGAGCCTTCCACATCCCAACATGACTAACTGGTACTGGATCTGCCCTTTCTCTTTAACCATCTATTAAACTAAACAGAATGCAGGAGCCATTTCGAGCTTTGACAATAGGCAGTGCAGGACTGGGATGCCTGAGAGCAGCAGAACACATGTGGTAAAGCCCAAAGTGACCTTGGTCTCATTCCTTAGGACACTTCCCAAACGAGGACACCAGGAGGTGGCACCCCAGCAAAGCATGGTGGTCTCACTGAGCTGAGGAGCAGAGACAAGTGCTCGGGGGCAGCTGAAAAAGCTGGAATTTATCCGCCTGAGAATCAGAGAAAATGGGGGCTCTCGTAACCCATAGGGAGTTTCTCTGTAGGTCCTGAGCGTGGGGCTCGCAGCCAACGCAAAGCTGAGACCTAACCAGAGAGGTCACTTTAACGGAAGTCACTGGAGCTGCAAACCAGCCAGGAAGGAAGAAACTTGATAAACTTATTGGACATCCACTTAAGATTCCAGAATTTGCTCCATCTTATAGAGGCCATGCCCTACAGCAGGTGTCAGCAAACTTTTTCATAAAGGGCCAGAGAATAAATATTTGTGGCTTGTGGACAATTTGGCCTCTCTTGCAATACTTAATTAACTCTGCCACGGTAGCTCCAAAGCAGCTAGAGACAAAATGCATACGCAAATGAGTGCCTCTGTGTTCCAATACAACCTTATCTGCCAAAACAGAGGGATGGCTCACCGGCTGTACTTTGCTAACTCCTGCCCTAGAGCAAAGGCCATGACCTAGAACTAAGTGTGAAATAAATACAGAGCCATCAAAAAATAAAATAAAATCAGACCTAATGAGGAAATATTATAGGCTGAGAAAATAATACTAGATAAACATCCAGATCTATATAAAAATGAGGGAAGGTAGGAGGGGAAGCAAGGGAGCATATCCTTTAGCATAGCTGAATAAGTCCCAGCATCTTTAGCTCATGGTAAAATGTGTGAGTTTCTGAAAACCCACTCGTTAGTCAGAGGCCTAATGTTTAATAACATGGCCATGTGAAAAGAAATGTCACATAGTCAATACAAGGGAATGAAAGTGGGTACAGACCACAGATAAACATTTTGGTGGTGTTGTTTTTTAATCAAAACAATTTCAAAGTCCTCCAGTGGTGTCATAGGCAAAACTAATAATTTCCTATAAGAGGCAGAAATTAAGCAAATGAGCTTTCCACTTCACATATATAACCCACTCTCTATTAGAAAATAATCAAGTGCCTAAATGAAGGCTTCACATTCTTTCTTTCAGAGGAAGAGAAAAAAAATCTGAAATTATCTGTTAAAAATTAGAGAAGCGTTTTTAGAAATACACTGGCTTGAGTGTAGTTATAAATATATTGGAAAATTAATTTGTTTTTCTAATAGTGTTATCACATTTTTGCATATGGTATCTATTCTGTCCTGAGAACAATTGTTTTAACTTCATAAAAACTGAGCTACATTATCTGTAATGACTAGCCAAAAAAAAATGTTTATTTGTAATTAGTTTATCTATAATCCCAATCAATGCCAAGATTATCCTCAGCTTCTTTCTGGAAAAGAGCAACTACATCCTTCTCAATGGTTCAATCAAAATCCTAAGGGTCCTTTGGGTTCTTACTTGTTACAGCCATCAGGCCTGGTGTCAGAAGGGCCAAGTACAGTGTCCATGAAAGTTGCAACGTTGGAAAATCCTGCTGGCAATTCATCCCATTCATCAAATTTGATGCCACTGCCCAAGGAGTAGGTGCCTTCACCACACTTACTGCATACCTGGTTCTTCATCTCTAGATACTCTCCAGAAGCACAGGAGAAAGCTGGAAGACAGAGGACGCATAGCCCATTAGTCTCCAGACACCCCCATCAATTCCCTCCCCTTCACACTGTCACCAGAATTGTTTTTATAAAGTTCTGATCATGGCACACCCTAATTAAAGCTTTCCAAAGTCTCACTTATCTCTACTGACACTTCACAATCTGGCCCCAACCTGTTTACCAGCCTCAGCCCTTGCCCCACCCTTTTCTAACCATAACAGAATTCACATCATTACAACAATATTTCATCTTCTTTTTTGCTGCTGTGGTTTTCCTTCTCCAGAGATGCTGACCAACCCATCTACCCTATTTGGAAAATTCCCATTTCTAACTCAAAAACAACCCTGCTCATAACAGACCTCCCTGCCCCCACCAGGCAGTCAGTTTTGCCTCCCTCTGTGCTCTTATCATACTCTTCTCATAATACATCTATTAAAAAGCAATATATAGGGTGTCCCAAAAGAATGTATACACACACACTTTGAATAATTATAAAGGCAGTGTTTATTAAAATTCACTTTCAAAATTGAGCTATTAGCTGTTAAAGTCTGTATACATTTTTTGGGAAACCCTGATATATATGGGAGTCCCAAAAAATGTATACATACTTTGAATGATTATAAAGTCAGTATTTATTAACATACAGTTCTCTCATATATCTGAGAGCTGTATCCTGATGTCATGGGCAATATAACTAATAGTTGACACAGTTACAGAAAAGAAGGTAGTGCTGCTCCTAAGTTATTACTCATTCAACAAATGCAAATCTATGTCCCCTGAGTGTGTGTCTCTGTGCTCAGGGTGGTATTACTGACTCAACTACAGCAAAGGGCTTTTTAATCCTTTAATCGGGATATTGTAGAAACAAGAACAAAATAAAACCTTCAAATTATCCCATAAAGAAAACAAATTTCCCAGCAGAGACCGAAGCAGCAGAGCTCACATTTAGGTAGACTCTCCTTTTAGAATACATTTGGAAACTTACCAAAAAAGAAAAACACGTTAATTTTGAAAAAGTAAAGAATGAGAGCTAAAACCCACACTCATCTACCTACTTAACCACTAAATAAATATAATGAGGTGAGGAGACCAATTCCAGTTCATGGGGCATGAATGACAAAAGGTTTATAGAAAAAAATACTACAACAGTGAAGGTCAAGGGAAGGAAACTGGTCAGAGTATTTGATGAGGTCATCAGTGGGGGCAGAACAACACATCTGTGAAATCAGTTTTCTCAACTTCTAATTTATGTCCTAACATTGACTCTTATCCTCCTGAACTCTTCCTCTTAGGAAGTGTCAATCACCCTCTACTTCCTGGAAGTCTCTCTGTCCTTGATTCTGCAATTTTCAGGGCTGAGTTCTCTAATCTCCTTATAAAATGCTTGTGTTCAGAGGAGCTCACTCAAGCGTAGCTCCCATCAAACACTACACTGATAAAAGCCTGATTTTGAGCTGTTCTCTTAACAATCTCTTTTGTCCTTGCCTTTGAACCCACTACTTGTGTGTTGCTGAGCAAATTTAACTTCAACACTCTCCATACCTGGAATGTGATGCATTCATATTCCAAATTAGACCTACTGAGGACAAAGTGTTTCTGTCCTTTTACATATAGAATGAATTTTTACAAATCTCATTAGATCTCTGTGTTTCACCTACAGAAAAGAAACACTGAAGTCAGTCTCTAATTTGATGACACCAAAGATATTCAATCAACAAATATCCCAGTGTTTGGAGCTTTCTTAGAAGTCATGAGAGGATTATAGCTCCTCTCCTCTTGGAAAGAATAAAACACAATTCTATTTTAAATTAAGAATGACTATAGTTTTTAAAAAAATCAATATCTTCTAATACATGTTAAATAATAAAAGCATACTATATGTATCAAGCACCCACAATTTTCTAGGCACAGAAATAAAAAAGCTAAACTTCTCATTGTTTATGATGATATAACTACAAATGTGCCCTAAATTATGAATGTTATTCTCTTACTTTTCAGAAACATGTACACAATTAAGAATAAAATTGCCCTGATTAAAAAAAAAAAGCTGAAGGATTGTATCACCACCAAACCTATATTATAAGAAATGTTGGAGATTTTTTTAAGAAAAAAAAATGTCAAAGATATGAATACGGAAATATCGCAAAGAAAAAAAAATTATCAATGTCAAAGACAAATACATTATAAAAGCAAGTGGATCAACCTACACTAAAACTAGTACAAAGGTTAAAAGGCAAAAGTAGGGAGATCTTGTGTAATTACAATAGTAAATTAAGAGATACACAAAAACATACACAAGCAAAAGAAGTAAAAAAAATAATGATAAAATATAAACATGGAAGGGTGAGTAAAAATGGTAGTAATTTTTTAGGTGGCCATCAGTTTAAAATAGACTGCTAAGAACGAAACTTGATATATATGAAGGACATAGTAACCACAAACCAATGCTCTACAAGAGAGAACAAAAAGAAATCCAAACACAACACTACAGAAAGCCACCAACATACAACAAGAGGAGAGAGCAAGAGAATAAGAAAAAAACACAGAACTACAAAAACAATCAGAAAACAATTAATAAAATGCCAATAACTACATACCGATCAATAATTACTTTAAATGTACATGGATTAAAGGCCCTAATCAAAAGACAAACAGATAAAGAAGATGTGGTATGTATGTATATATATGTATGTGTGTGTGTATATTTATCTATGGAATATGACTCAGCCATTAAAAGCATGAAATCATACAGTTTATGACAATATAAATGAACCTAAAGGGTGTTATGCTAAGTGAAATAAGTCAGACAGAGAAAGACAAATACCATATGATTTTAATTATATGTGGAATATAAAAAAATAAATAAATAAACAAACATACAAAGCACAAACAAACTCATAGACACAGAGAACAAAATGATGGCTATGAATGAGAGGGGGTTGGGGGTCTGGATGAAAACGTGAAGGGATTAAGAAGTACAAATTAATGGGTACAAAATAGTCACAGGGACATAAAGTATAGCTTAGGGAATACAGTCAATAATAAGATAATTGCACAGGTGAGTGCAAGACCTTCTGGGGATCACTTCGTAAGTTACATAAATGTCCAACCACTGTGCTGGACACCAGAAACTAATACAATATTGAATGTCAACTGTAATTTAAAAAAAAATTTATTTAAATATAAGTTAGAAAAAAATAAAATCTACAAACTGATCATTAATCAATTAAAATGAGCTACAAAGCCATATATCTGATATTTAACTGCCATCTTTTTAAAAATCCACTTACCTATTTGGGATATTAGTTTGCATAGCATTTCTGTCAAGAGGTAAAGGTTGGGGGAGCATGGATACCTCAAGAAGAGGACTAACACTTGTTGAACATACACTGCAGTGCATTCCAAAGAGGCGGAACACCATGGGGTTAAGAAGATGGACCCAGGGAGTTAGACTGCCTGGTTTCAACTCCCAGTTCTGCTTTTGGCCTATCTGTGTGAGGTAATACAAGCACCTATTCACCAGAGTGTTGCAATGACTAAATGAACTGGAGAAAACACATGTAAAGCATTTTCAATCATGTCTTGCATATAGCAAGTAAAGATTGGCTATCATAATTTTTCATTATTATCATTACTACTAGTGGCCCAGTGCACAAATTCGCGCACCTGAAAGAAAATTAATTAGAAAAAATATTTTAATATTGCTATCCGCCCTTTCTCTATAATAGAAGTGTCAACAAATTTCATGATCGACAATGACAGATCAAAACATACTCATGCGATTGGCGCCAGCAAGAGTTTTATATGTATCACACATGTGCGAGTCAATTTAGCCTTTTATATAGATAGAATAAACTTGCTTAATTAGACCTTGCTTAACTTAGCTAAACTTTTCCCAGCCCAGTGAAGCACCCAACTTCTCTTTCAGGTAATTGTCAGCAACACAGCAATAAATATCAACATGGAGCAGATTATTATTGTAGGTCATGTAGGGAGAACAAAAGGTAAGATATTTAACTGCAGCAGTGTTTGACTATATTCTGCACAGTGAGAAAACCTGAAGTCATTTTCAAGGTCCACCATTTCTTACTTCTTTTCAGTTGGGTGAAGTTTCTAAGCTTTCTAAATCTCCGTTTTCTGGCTAATGAAAAGAAAATAGGATTCTACCGAGTCTCCTATCTACCTACTCCAGGACTTCTGTGAGGATCAAATGAGATGAGGCATGGGAAAATGACATTTGGTTAAAGTGTGAAATATTTTCACCTGGCTATGAAGGAAGTCATGTTCCCATGCTGAAGAAACTGCAAGGAGGCTAATCACTAGGGAGAGGAAGCTGGGCATTGCTACGTGATGTCATTACCCGGATGGTCAGACACTTAGCATATTAGCCTTTTATATACATAGATGAAGTTAAATTATTACTAGAGGCCCAGTGCATGGATT